GAGCTCATTGCGATTATTTAGTATTGTGGTTAGATTGCGATAAAGAGGGTGAAAATATTTGCTTTGAAGTTATAAATGCAGTGCAACAAGGAATGCATAGGAAATTACATATAAATGCAAGTGACTTCAGATATTAAAACTATTGAATCTTTTCATATAATGAATTGTTAATCATAATTTAAGGGTCCATTCTATCTGGTGGCTTAAAAAAAAGAGATTTTTGACAATTTTTTTCGAGAAAAGTAATGGAAATGCATACTTCATTATTTTTACATGTTATTTTTATATTTTTTTTTCTTTAATTTTAAATGTTATGAAGTCAATGTGTTAGTCTACATAAACTTTCAGAGAAGATTCCTCTCTGACTTGAACATGGTGTTAAAATGGAAGTATTGCAAGTCGCACCAGTCATCTAAAAGAATTAAAACAAAAAAACGATTTTCCTGTTTAGAAAGAATGTCTACAGGATAAACTATGATAATTGACTTTAGATAAAAAATAACAAAATGGCGATTATTTGAAAAAAATATTCGATTTTTTTACCTTAAATTATGTTCTTGCTTTTACGATAAAAAAAAGTAGTATGATATTGAATATAATTGTAGTCTATCCAGTAGAAAAAAACCTTGCTCTACAATCGTGCAAAATTTGAAAGCGATAGTTTAATAGTTTTTGTTCTATCACTTCTGTTGGATTGAAAAGTATTGTTTTGAGAAAAACGCGTTAAAAATTTCATATTTACTCTTTTTTTATTATTTACGCCTATATTTGCCATGTTAAGGGTTTCAACACAATATTTTACACACTTTGGGCTATCAATCATGTAAAAAAAAATATTTTCAATTTTGTGACCCCAGCAAGATAGAATGAACTCTTAAATATTTTTATTGTATTAATAAACAGAGCTTTCTTTTTAATGGATGGAAATTTATAGGATATATGGCGAGCACGATTTTCTGCTATTACAGAGAAAGATATAAAATCTGCTTTGGCCAATCTAATAAAGCCCAATGAAAACGAAGCGAAAAGTGTCGATGCACGTCAGGAGTTAGATTTGCGAATAGGCTGTGCATTTACTAGATATCAAACTAAATTTTTCCAAGTATATCACAATTTTTGCCTTGTTATATTTTAAACATCACAGAATACATATGAGTGTTATACTTTTAGGGCAAGTATGGAGATTTGGATGTATCTCTTATTTCTTATGGTCCGTGCCAAACTCCAACATTAGGATTCTGTGTACAGAGACACGATGAAATTCAGACTTTCAAGCCAGATCCATATTGGGTATTGCAGGTAACTGTATTGTATTTTGAAATTTATACAAACATTTTTCTTATTATATATTTTCTGTGTTAAATGATATTATCTTTTTGTTACTTTGAGGTAACTGTCAAGTCTCCTGACGGTCAAGATATTGTGTTAAGTTGGAGTCGTGTACGTTCCTTTGATAAAGAAGTTGCAAGCATGTTTTTAAGCCACGTTAAAGAATATGATCAAGCAACGTGAGTTATACATGTTTAAATGTTTAAAAATCTTAATATATTGGAAAGATTACATCATTCGAAATAAATTGTGTATAGCGTAGTGAGTATACAAAGTACAGAAAAATGCAAATCACGACCTATAGCATTAAATACAGTAGAGCTGATGCGAGTCGCCAGTTCTGGATTGGGTATGGGTCCACAGCATGCTATGCAAATTGCAGAAAGACTTTATACTCAAGGATACATAAGTTATCCACGAACAGAGACAACATCGTATCCTGAAAATTTTGATCTGCTGTAAGAATCTTACTGCTTGATTGTTTAATGATTATTTTTAATTTGCACATGTATGTATATCATACTTGATATTACAATAATTTTTATTTTATTCAAGTTCAACATTAAAACAACAGCAGAATAGCTCGGAATGGGGCGAAGAAGTTCGCAAGATAATAGCAACTGGAATCAATAGACCAAAGAAAGGCCACGATGCAGGTGATCATCCGCCTATAACACCCATGAAACATGCAACCAGGAACGAACTTGATGGCGATTTGTGGAGATTGTATGATTATATAACGCGACATTTTATTGCTACGGTATGTTTGAGATAATTGAGATAATTGAGTTAAAACTTTGAAGTGATCCTTATTTGCATTATTATATGTATGTATTTTTTCTTCTTATCTTCCTTTCTCTCTCTATTTCGGTTTTCGAATCGTAGCTGGCACGGGATTGTAGGTACTTGAGTACTACGGTAAAATTTGAGATAGGCATGGAAATATTTACAGCTACTGGTCACAGTCTATTGAGTCCTGGCTACACGAGTATTCTTACTTGGCAAGCACTTGGCAATAATGATACCCTGCCGAAATTTACATCCGATGAGAAAGTAAACATACAAGAGGTAAAAATTATTTTTGTTACATTATATTTACTTGCTTGTATTTTTAGCCACGTTTTAAACAGAACATATTATGCAAAATGATGTGTAGAATGTAGTGTAGAATGTTCTGTTTTATTGTTATAGGCCAAATTAGTTGAATGTTATACACAACCGCCAGATTATTTAACAGAGGCAGAATTAATATCTCTTATGGAAAAACATGGCATTGGAACAGACGCTTCGATTCCTGTACATATAAATAATATCTGCATTAGAAATTATGTTACTGTTGCAGCAGGCAGAAAATTAATACCTACTTCTCTTGGTATCGTTTTGGTCCATGGATATCAAAAGGTATCTTTGATTTCATTTTTTCTACAGGGTGGGCCATCTATTGGTACGTTTTTAACAATGCGATCAAATGAGCATACATTGATATTTTTTATTAATTTTTTTTTTGTTGTGAAGCTAAAAGTATCCGCGTCAAGAATGAAAAACGATTTCGTTCATGTGGCTCCCTCTACTGGCCTTACAGTATGCCATTCGGTCACCCCAATTATTAATGACATTTTGGACTACCTCGGCGCCAATTTCACTCAAAACAGTCGTAATATAATGTCATCCACTAACATCCCTTTCTCACGAACTTTCCTCACCAATTTGCGTATAGCTCCTTCGGTGGGTGCTCTATCACGACCCATATTTCTTTTCAAAATTCGTACAGTTTCGGCGACACAGCACTGACTTTGAAAATAAGTTTTTAAAATTTCAAAACGCTCTTCAAGAGAAAACATGTTGTTTCGTGCCGCGGACGGTATGACTAATAAACTGTCAAAATTTCGGGTCTGTAGCTCGTTCGGTGTTGCCATACGACGAAATTCAAAAACGTACCAATAGATGGCCCACCCTGTATCTGTCACAATGATAAATCTTGTATAAAATACACATGTGTCCCCTTTATTAGATAGATCCTGAATTGGTTTTGCCCACAATGAGATCTGCAGTAGAAGAACAATTAAATCTAATAGCATTAGGTCGAGCTGACTTTCATGCTGTACTACAACATACCGTAGAAATTTTTAAACAAAAATTTCATTATTTTGTACAAAGTATAGAAGCTATGGATCAGTTATTCGAAGTGTCGTTTTCGCCACTATCGGCTTCCGGCAAAGCACACTCCAGGTAACAATTATAACAATTATAATGACAATTTATCCTTTGCTTTGTATAACATTCCACTATATTACTTGCTCTTTTTTCGATCTCTTATCATTGATATATGTTGCAGATGTGGTAAATGTCGTCGATACATGAAATACATACAAACTAAGCCGTCTAGAATGCATTGCGCGCATTGTAACGAAACTTATAATTTACCACAAAATGGAAACATACGAATATACAAAGAATTAAAATGTCCATTGGATGACTTTGAATTACTTTCATGGTCGACTGGAACACGAGGAAAAAGTTACACATTTTGTCCATACTGTTATAACAATCCACCATTCAGGTATGTTTACACAGTTGTATGTATTGTAATTGAATTTAAGTGTAAAAGAAGACTGATTATTCTTTCAAATTTAGAGATATGAAAAAAGGAATGAGCGGTTGCAATTCATGCACGCATCCGACATGCCCGCACGGTATGAATTCAAATGGTTTATCCAGCTGTTTGGAATGCGATCTAGGTATACTTGTACTCGATCCTTCAGCCGCACCTAAGTGGAAATTGGGATGTAATCGTTGCGATGTTATTATCCATCTATTTGAAAACGCGCATAAAGTGACAGTTGATACAGATACGTGTGATTGCGGTGCACAGTTAGTAACTGTCGAATACAAACAGGTGAGGAAATAATATTTATTCTGGAATGAACATGCAACTGCATATCTTGTTTGGTTTCAGGATAAAAGTAAACTTCCCAACGAAGTGACCGAAATGTCTGGTTGTGTGTTTTGCACTCCAGCTTTTGCTGCGTTAGTAGAAAAACATCGTGCAGTAGCTTCGAAACCAGTCGTCACGCGTGGTCGGGGTCATGCCAAGAGTCGTAATCGAGGCAAACCTAAACCACCAAAGGACAAAATGGCACAACTGGCAGCTTATTTCGTATAATGAATCGTTTAGAGCTGCATATAATATAAAGTCATTTACGTGTGTGTATCTCGTCTCATTCTTTGCAAATAAATCTCTATCATAGCATTTTATAACATTTTATAAGAATGATGGTAATGATTAATCATTTTCATGCTTTCTATTAAATAATAGAATCTTACAATGTATTACAACGCATTTTATAGAATGTGTTTTATTAAAGAAATTTGACAAGTTTTGACGAAAATTCTAATTCATGGGCAGAATAGTAAAAATTCTTGATACAATTTTATGTTTAGAAGGTTTAGAATGTAAGATTTATTTTTAAATAGAAACAATCGTGAAAGAGATACGGAGCGGTTCGAATGATTCTGTAATTTAAAATCTTTAAAAAACTTTATAAAAAAAAAAAGAATACTGCTGTAATTTTATTTTATTGGAATATTGAAAAAGTTCCAACTTTTTTTATGATTATACTTGTTAAACGTTTAAAGAGTGTTAATTCATATAGAGAGATAACATTCATATGTTTAAAACTTAATACTTGATTTTTATTTAAAACAAATACTTTATTTGTGATTTTAATGTTATCATCCGAGTTCGATTATCAATAGAGATGACATTTTCAGAAAAAAATTGTAATTTTTCGGCAATATGTAAACTATTGTAGCATTAAAAGTATACATACTTATTTATTTCTACAGCCAAGGATGTAGTGAGAAAAATGTTTTGGGAGGGACAGTTTTTTAAATGTTCTTTTTTATACTAGTAATACATTTGGTAAGCGTAAACAAAAAAAGTTTCGTCTAAAACAAAATAAATTCAATAGCAAAAAGTTATGATAATTTATATACATGTTGCAATGTCGCGTCGAACGTTTCGCTAACGCTGCATATAAATTGCCATAATTTTTTAACTGTTACATTTAAAGATTTAAAACTTTCCAGAAAACTTCTTCAAATATTCAACTATAATATAACATTAATGAAAATTTTTAACTCGAAAATTCGTAACATAACTTTAACGTTTGAAAAAAAATTCACTAAACTCGACAAAATATTAAAAATTCATTATTTTATTGTAAAGTTTCGGAATAGCTCTACAAGTCGCAGAATATGTCAAAGATTATAGTGTAAAAATTTAAATAATAAATATTAATATCCGACTGAGATTTTGCGAGTTTAAGTGCTGACGTTCTCCCAACGTTTTTTGTGTTTGTACTAACAGCAACATTGTTTTCCGTGTAATTTATCGAATTTTTGTTTACGTATCAAATACAAATCCTGAAAATCAACAAATATATTTTTAATACATTATAAACGATATTTTTGCAACTAAATTAAATATGAAAACTATTCCAACAGGATTTAATATCCTCTCTCAAAACAAATTGATATTTACGATTCAACAATATTTTATATATTCTTATGAAATTATTGAAATTATTTAGAATTTCGAGGGAGAGGCTACAACCACTGTCTAGCATTTATATAATAAAAAAATCACGAACGGCCTAAATGAAATAGTCAATGGTACTTGACTTTCAGACACTCTGGTGGCAGTCTTCCAAAATAATCAATTTGAGGAGGCCAGTTGGACCACCTATATACTTTTAACACCATGGTTTATTTCAATCACAAAGAACGCTTCAACCTTTCTTCTGAATTCTGAAAGTTATAATATTGCATTTACATTTTTGTTTATCATGGGTTTATGTAATATCGAATGTATAGAAAGAATAGCGCAATATCTCGATGTTTCTCCAGGAAAGTTGCAAGTTTCTGATAAAAATGTGAGTATTAAATTATTTCATAAAAATATCTGCCTTGCTCCACATATTTACCCGATATCACTTATATGCACACGTATAAAACTATTTAACTGTAAATGTGTTCAATAATAACAATATTTTATTATAATATGTTACCAAATATAACATATGTTCAATGAAAAATAAGGTATAATATTATAGATTTGCCAATATTTGGCAATTTTTAGTAATTAATATCTCGTTAACTATTGTGTAAAATGGTGGATGACTTTTCGACTCAGTTCGATTCACTCTACTTGCTCATGATGGGTGACGAAATATGTTAAAATTACCCTGTATGTCGCACATAATTGTTTTAGGTAGTATTTATTCCAGAGTGTGCAGAAAAGAATTTACCATCCATTCAAGGCTTTAGCACTATTGTGCAAACGCTTGTAAGGAATTCAAAATGTTCCGATATACTTGGTAATGAGAAAGAAACACAAGCATTGATACAGCAATGGCTAGAATATATTGTAATCTATATTAATTATGCAGATATTCCTGTCAATGCCAACAGAATATTAAATGTAAGTGTTACATACATGTATATTATATATATAAAGCATGTGTTTCTTACAGAAAATATAATATTAATCCAACTTTTAATTAAAGGAATTGAATACGATAATAAAAGATATACCATATATAACTGGTACAAAGAAGACTATTGCAGATATTGTGCTGTATTATGTTTTACATTCCATCATGGTAACAACGCATTGTAATAAGCTGCAATGATAATATATGCATCTATATAATTATTATATTTACTATTTTTTTACAGAAAGAATTAAGCCTTCAGCAAAAGGCACAATATATTCACGTATCGAGATGGTTCGACAATATTCAGCAAGAAGAGAAATTGAGACGGGACTTAGATCTAATATCTTTTAACTTATTACATCTGTATAATTAAAATAAAATATTTAATTTATTTTAAATGTTGTAATTTACAATGTAATTTATGATTATTAATTTAAATTATATATAATAATATATATATATATATATATATATATATATATATAAAAGAAAATCGTAAGTCTTGTAATGAATAAGCTGCAAATATATTGCATACCATTAATTTATAACAAATTACCATGCCATTTATTACTCATTTGTTTCGTGAATTTAGTAATTTTCTAAAAATTTATCTTACCGCTCTTACCAATAATATAAATACTGACAGGGTAATTTATCGATTGGTTTACCGATAAATACTACTAACTTTATCAACAATGTCGGAAATATGATACGTAGTTCGCATCAATTTATAAAATTGATATTGGTGTCGCTAGTGTACTGTGTCTTTCGAGCGAAAAACGCCCGGGATAGTCCCAGATGGCCTCTCTCAGGTTTCTCTCCGACTATACTGTACATCGTTTTTAACGATTGCTCACGACTGCTTCACTTCAGCAATCAGCAGTATACGACATGGCCTTTCTCAATGAATTTTACTATATATACAATATGTTCGTATATATATATGTTCACGAGTGCTCCGTGTAGAAAGCAGTAGAAACAACGATGGTACTGACGGTACTGACACCACTGACAGACAGTCGAGAGGCAGCTCAAGCTCCCACGCTATTGTCATGATTGTTTGGTCATGCTTGGTGATTGGTTTAGTGACGGCCGCCGTTGCCGTCGTGTACAGTGAATCGAGTTATCAAGTGAAACGCTTTTACTCGTAAACGTCACGAGAGAAATGTACAGTCTCTCGTGCATCGCTCATCGGAGATGGTCGAATTTTTCCAATTATTGTGCCTGATAACGCGTGCGCGAGCAACGTTCTTGACATTGTCGCATAGCGGAGAATCGCAACTGCCTGCAGCCATTCGCATTTGATTTATTTTGGCCTAATTTTAGCCTAATATAGCCAAAGTTGTCTTATGATCCTCACATAGTTGAGCATAGCATCGACTAATAACTAAAACGTAGCGAGATGGCGGACGATTCGAGCGTACGCGTTGCCGTGCGGTAAGTAAATAATACATTTGTATAATATAATAAAATTGAAAACCTTTTTCAGACTTTTGTCCGCGACATTTGATACATGCCGGTGATGCGCCGGTGACACGCCGGTGTCGATTGAGAGGCTGATTAGAAACTCCGCTTATTCAAACACGCATATTTCTCTATTAATTGTGAATGACGAGATAGTTGAAGAATTTTTGCCATGGCTAACTGCTTTTATTCAGATAAATATTTCTCGTGTACCTCTGGAACATCTCTGAATGCCTAGCTGAGTTTTGAGTTTTTTTTCCTTCATTACGAAGAACAAAGAAGCGCGAGATACCTGCAGTTCTTTTGCGCGTAAACACGTTATGACGCATGAAGAAACTTGGACTCGAACGAATTCCACGGACGATTGCAAATATCGATTCTCGAGTATCTCCTTTTATGACACAAGCGCGTGGGCTTAATTATCGTTCGTCTAAGAAATGAGCACCTTCAACTTCAAAGTTGGAGATACAAGTGACCTTCGTCACCAATGATACCGCGATTACCGCAAAGTGTTTGTTGTTCTTCATTATTTTTAACCATTAGATAAATTGGTTGTCTGTTGCAGAATAAGGCCTCAAGTAGCTCGCGAAGTAATCGACATGTGCAGGATTTGTACTCAAGTACCTCAAGGGGAGCCGCAAGTTTTTCTCGGACCCGACAAGGCCTTTACGTACGATTACGTTTTCGATACTCAGGTGAATCAAAACGCGATTTACGAAACATGCGTGAACCGTCTGGTGGAAGGCGCGTTGGATGGCTACAACGCGACGGTCTTCGCCTATGGACAAACCGGTTCGGGTAAAACTTATACCATGGGCACTGGTTTCGATGTAGAAGTCGATGAAATTATCGTCGGGATCATCCCTAGAGCTATTAAACATCTTTTCGATGGAATAGCGGATAAGCAGAACCGTGCAAGGGAACGCGCGCAAATGCCTCCGGAGTTTAAGGTCCGTTGAATTATCTGGGATTCAACTTGTGCTTTGTTTTTTATCTTTGATCTCTAGAGTTCAATTGAAACTTTTACCGAAACTAAAAACGAACACTCGCGTCAGTTTCGAAACCATATAGCTTCTCTTCTTCATAAAAATTAATTTTAACATGTATAATTGTTGTTTCAATAATTGAATTATGATGTCTATGAAGGAAAAGTACTTATATTCTTTGGCCAAAATTGACACAAACTAAATTTCGGTTTTTGATTTCGATCGAAATTTATGGGTCAATTCTAAAAAGAATTGTAAGATTCGTAAAACTAGTAAGAATTTATGACTAGTGTTCTAATTTTATGCGTATGTATCGTATAAGACGTATGATTATTAAAGTAAATATCTACGATTTCTTGTAAATTTTATGACTATAATAAAGAAGATGTAAAAATATTGTATAAAGGTATAAATATTTAAAAATTCTTACAAATCTTACAGGAATATGTTACGAGCCTTATTCTGCTTAGAATTTAGATACTAATTGTTGTTTCAATAAATTATGATGTTTATTATGAAGAAAAAATATATGATACATGGATATGTCTATACATATGGCCTTTAAAGAATTCTTATTTTTTAATTTTGGTTTCGATTTCGATTGAAATTGACACGCAGTCGAGTATTTCGGTTTAGTTTTGGCAAAAATTTCGGTCGGACTATTGATTTCATTGTTACAATGACGATCTCTCTCGTTATATGCCGCAGGTTACAGCACAATTCTTAGAATTATATAACGAAGATTTGAAAGATTTATTAGAGCCAGGAGGACCGAGAGGTGGTGCACGTATTCATGAGGATACAATGGGTAACATACATTTAACTGGTGTAGAACCACGCGTCGTAACCAGTCCCGAACAAGCACTAGAGTACCTTCGATTGGGTGCATTATCGCGCACAACTGGATCCACGCAAATGAATACGCAATCCTCTAGATCGCATGCAATATTTACATTATACATCAAACAGCAAAGATGCATCAAAGTCGAGGATCCCGACGCGGATGTCGATACGAGTGGTGTCGAGTTAACGAATGAATTTGAAACGTTAACCGCCAAGTTTCACTTTGTCGATTTGGCCGGTTCCGAGAGATTAAAGAGAACGGGCGCTACCGGTGATAGAGCAAAGGAGGGCATTTCTATCAACTGTGGATTGGTAAGAGTAGATCTTTTCGACAAAAAAAAAATAAGATAAAAAGAGTGTCTGTTTGATTATGTATGTTATGTTTTTTTCTACAGTTAGCCTTGGGTAATGTCATTTCTGCTCTCGGTGATAAAACGAAGAAAGCCTCACACATACCGTACAGAGACTCAAAGTTAACTAGATTACTTCAAGATTCCCTCGGAGGTAATACAATATAGTTGCGGTATATAAGCATATAAAATATTTTTAATTAAGCCTACTTTATGACTTACATTACAATTACGATTTACATTACAGGAAATAGTCAAACCGTTATGATAGCGTGCGTATCACCGAGCGACAGGGATTTCATGGAAACTCTAAGTACGTTAAAATATGCAAATCGAGCAAGGAATATAAAGAATAAAGTTATTATTAATCAGGATAAGAGCTCGAGAACGATCGCTTCTCTACGGCGAGAAATTCAACAGCTTCAATTGGAATTGATGGAATATAGACAAGGTATATAATTTGAAATGTAAATATTATAATAATACTTTCATATTACACGTAACATTACACACCTGTTTCTTTTCTTTAGGCAAGAGAATCGTCGGTGAAGACGGTGTTAACGATGCCTGGCATGAAAATCAAATGTTGAGTAGCGAATTACAAAGTCTTCGCACCAGAGTGAAAGCACTTTCGGAAACGGTTGATGCATTAACAGCCAAGAACGCTCTCTTATTGGCAGAAAAAGCAGCGGGTCACTGGGTAGCGACATCGGGCAAAGGTGATGATCAAGTGACTAGTTTGATACAAGGTTACGTTCAAGAAATAGAGGAGTTACGAGCTCGTCTGTTGGAAGCGGAAGCTATGTACCAGCAACTAAAGAAAAGGCAAATGCAGGTATGATGAATTGCTATGTTCAAAGATATAATAAAACTGATCGATATTAATAAAATATTCATTAGGTTAGCGCAGCGAATCCATATGGGGATAGTTCGTTTCATTCCGATTCTGCGTCCGTATTGATCGATGCCAAGAGAGATGTCGAAAAAGAAATAGAAACGTTAAGAACCTTGAAAGAACAATACAGTAGTAATACTATCAAGTCAGTGGATGAGGGAGAAATAGACGATGCGGAGAATGCGCAGGATTCGGTAAGCGAAGATGATTCCGACGATGATTCTGATCGTAAAGGTATGTTTAAATACGTATATTTTATGTATATATATTTTTACAGCATCTTTTA